AAAAGGGCACCGATTCGCTGCAGTTCACCTGCATGACACTTTTTGTGTACGTCTCTTTGAACCAATCGTACGTGACTCGGGATATGGCCACGCCCGATGCCCCTCGCTCGATTTTGCTCTCCGTGTTTTCAGTGTAGTACTTGTCGATCACTATACGCACCTTCTCACTCAAAACTTGGATGTTAGTGAACTTCACGTTCTCCACCGACTTAAGGACAACGAGGGCATAAACTGCGGTCAACGGTCAACTTCGAAGGTCAATGGTTAAACTAATATTTAACCAGTTAATAAAAAAATAAAAAGATTAAATCTTGACCAGACACCTTGTTTCTTATTTAATAGCTAGAGTTGAGTCTCACATTCATATTTTAAGAATAGAGACACATTTGATCCAATACCTATATTGTATATGCATTTATGTATAATATTTGTTTTTTATATATTTTGGGAAGGAAAAGGAAATAAACAAGAAGTTGAGTATAGTATAACTGTATAAGCATAAATTCTACAACTTAAAAAATAAGATACTATTGAACGTTAAATAATTTTAAACATTTCATTTTTATTTTTTTTATATTGAAATAACTTTGCATAATAATTAATAACATGTATTTTTTTATGTCAGTATAATAATACATTTATACATATAACACACATATATAAATAATATTATTAAAAAATTCTACACGGGTCGTGCCCCTACAAGCCCCTGTGTAGATTCGCCCATGTCCACCGACCCAAACGCCCTCTGCATTTTCCGAACAAAACAAACACATGATTAATGTAATCTATTCTGTCAATCGACATATTATTTATCGAATTTTGCTAGTTTTCACCGTCAATTTAGGACAGTAACTTACAATTTACTGGTAAAATATTGTACATAATTGACACAGGTCATAAGTTACTCGTCATAAATTGTAATTTTGCCTTGCTAATAAATGTCACGCATTCATCCAATTAATAGAATAAATTGTAATATTGTCGTCTTTACCTACCAAGTCTTCATCCTTACTCAAACGCTAACTCAATAAAAA